CTGCAATGTACGTGCTTTCAGTCAATTACTATCGTGTGGCTTCGTAGAAGGAAGTGCGTCAATCACTTGGAGCCGTATCATATTCATATCGTACTCTGAGACCAAATTAATGATGAGAAGTTAGTTGAAAAGCGACAAAAGGTTTTACAAGGTCTCTATTGCCTGGTCAGTTCCCCTGTCGAAGACAAAGACGCAAAAGACCTTCCTTGAGAGCACGAAGATAGAGAACAGGACATAAACCCACAGGTGTACTTTAGGGAAGCCCTGCTAATGCGGAAATGTTAGAGACTTACCTTCTGCCTGTGCCGATGACATACGCGCAAAAAATGGTTTGTAGGACTGTGTGTCGGAAGCATGCCGCCTGCAGACTTGTCCCCTCCCACCCTGACTGGGAGACGGCGACGCCTGTTCTGGACGGAGCTGCATGCTTGCGACCGAAGGGGTCCCCCTGCGTCTATGGTCAGTTACCACCGGCGGCTCGTTCGAAGTACTCAACTTTCGAACTCCTGCATGGACGCTCATTTGCGGTAGCTCAAACGTTCTGATCAGATATGAAGCTGACTCTGAGGGTTGCCTCTTCACCTGAAGCAGTACAACATATAGAGAAGATCAAAATGCAGGCTGAATTCAAATTTATGTAAGGTCACATTCAACACCCCTGTCATGCTGTGCACTTAATACCACATGGAAGAACAACAGTGTTTGTGAGCAGGAGGACAGGAAAGCTTCGCGAACTCAGGAAGTACTTTTTATCAGAAGTAGTCGTACAGTGCTTGAGACAATTTTCGACATTCAACCTGCATTTCAACTTTCGCATCATATATGACTAGTAAAAGCGAATATCAATGAAATTCCATTAACGGACTTCAAAATCCTAAAGCAGTTTCATATGTAATATTATAAACTGGTTATCCTCTCTGTAAGTCGTTACATTTATCGATGGTAGAAAAGTTTGTGAGGGTGATGCAATGTCTCATAAAGTTAGTACAGTTATACTGTTGTGCATAGCCTGTTCCTTATTTCAACTGCTGGATCGCATATAAAATATTTATGTTCAATTTTACGCTATTAATTTTCCGTTATAGGTCGTCAAATGAAGGGGTGATAGCTTAGTTTTCTTTCGAATTTTGGGAATTTTCTTTGGAAAGGCCTAATTTGAATGTAAAACTTGTATATTACGTGGCTTTATAGCCCCGTTGAGGGAAACATAGGCAATCGACTAAGTCCGAATGTTGGCTCTGGATAAAGTCAAAGCATCTTGCTTTCTGCGTCAAGAACTCCAGCTGTAAACGCTGAACTATCCCGATTTTAACGACTTGAACTCTATTCATAGAGGTTTCGGCAAAGTCGAGTGAGTCACCTGACCCATTCGTGAAAAAA